CAAACACATCCTACACACATCACACACCCACTACAAACTCCCAACACACCAATACGAACGTTTTGATAAATTGTGTACCCGCCAAACGGTACACCTTCCTCGAAGCGTACAGCGCCGGATGAGGATGAAGTTTCCGTTTCCTCATCCGCCCCAGATTCTGCTGACAGTGGGGAGGAAGCTGGCTTTATCAAAGGAGTTGATTCGTCGTACGACCTGTATGTATAAATTCATGAAATATTCTTTATTATTGTTATTATTAGTGAGAGTGAAGGAAAACTAAATACTACTAAAAATTTCGCTACAAATACTGCTGAACAGTTTTGTTCTTTTCTGTGTGCAGTTGTGATGGAGTTGAAGAGGAAACTGAGGTCTCCTGCACCTCTGAGACTTCCTGGGTACCAAAGAGAGGCAGAGAAAGAGGAAGGAGTCAGAGGAGAGGACCTCTAGGAAAGAGAGGCAAGCGCTCCAAGTCAGAGACTGTTTGTTTTCATGAAGCTGAATGGAAAAGTGAAAAGGACCCTGACAACTTCTCACATCCTCCACCACATATCCTGCCAAAAAAGGCCAGGTACACAGCCACCTGTTGCAGAACATGTGAACAATCCTTCTCCATCTGAGCTGTTCAGGATGTATGTTGACAGGGCTGTTATCAAAAACTCTGTGTGCCAACACTAATAAAAATGCAGAAAAATATTGCTGCAGCCAAAAATTATAATAGACTGAGGCGACGGATCCTGAGATGTATCAGTACATCGGGATAACACTGTATATGGGGATTCTAAAGATGCCAAAGGTCAGAGATTTTTGGCGTGCCATATCCCCCCAAGATCATGTCCAGAGACTGGTTCCTCACCATTACTTGGAATATTCACATGAGTGACCTTGTGGAAGATGCCCTCAATGACAGCAAAAAAGGCTCAGATGACTATGACTGCACAGAATGCGCCCCCTGTAAGGCAGTTTACGTGTAGCCTGCAACCCTGTGTACCACCCCCCAGAACACCTCTCTGTGGATGACCGTATGTCATCGTCGTCGTCTTCCTCCGCGTATCCAGGTCGCAGGGGCAGAATCCCAACTAGGGAGCTCCAGACCGTCCTCTCCCCGGCCTTCTCCACCAGCTCCTCTGGCAGGACCCCAAGTCGTTCCCGGACCAGATTGGAGATGTAACCTCTCCAGCGTGTCCTGGGTCGACCCGGGGGCCTCCTGGAGGCAGGACATGCCCGAAACACCTCCCCGGGAGGCGTCCAGGAGGCATTCTGACCAGATACCCAAACCACCTCAACTGGCTCCTTTCGATCCGAAGGAGCAGTGGTTCTACTCCGAGTCCCTCCCAAATGTCCGAGCTCCTCACCCTATCTCTAAGGCTGAGCAAGGCCACCCTGTGGAGGAAACGCTTTTCGGCCGCTTGTATCCGCAATCTCGTTCTTTCGGTCATTACCCAAAGCTCATGACCATAGGTGAGGATTGGGATGTAGATCGACCGGTAAACCGAGAGCCTGGCTTTCTGGCTCAGCTCCCTCTTCACCACGACAGATTGGCTCAGTGTCTGCATCACTGCAGACGCTGAACCAATCCGCCTGTCGATCTCCCGATCCCTCCTACCCTCACTCGTGAACAAGACCCCGAGATACTTAAACTCCTCCACTTGAGGTAGGATCTCTCCCCCGACCCGGAGTTAACACCAAAGCCAGTATTGCCATGAAGCAGTACATCCAAAATAAGGCCAAAATGGGTATAACGCTTTTTGTTGTTTCTGACAACACAGGCTACACTGTTGACTTCAGCATCTACACAGGGAGGTCCTCTCTGAATAGTGGGAAAGGGCTGTCATTTGATGCTGTGATGTCACTCATCCACAAAGCCTACCTGGGATCCGGATATCACATTTACTGTGACACCTTTTACACCAGCCCAGCTCTGTTTCACCGCCTTTATGACACGGGGTTTGGAGCCTGTGGGACATTTCGGGACACAAGAATTGGCATCCCAAAAACTAAAATTGATGCCCTAACAAAGAAATCTCCAATCAGGTGGATCAGAGAGCGAGCTCTAATTTTTATAAAATGGATTAATTCAGTTTCTAGCTGACCCTCGAACCAACCAGTTCTGGAACAAGCATTTTGAAACAATCCTATCTTTTTACTTCAGGTCAAAACCTCTCTGCAACGCTTGGTGATATCAGACAAAAGGGTTCTTCTAAGAGCCAACGAATAGCCTTAGACGCAAACAAGCATTCCAACTTCCCGTCATGACCTGGAGATATCTCAAGACTAGATGGGTCGTATTGGAGCTAAGCTATGACTTCCTGATTCCTAGAGGTCCATGTCCATCCCGACCTTGTGACCCCCTGGATCTGAACGGGGGTTTTCATACAAGGGTGCGTAGACTTGGCACAGAATGCGTCAGATGGTTTTTATAAACAAATTAGCTTATCAAACCATACAGCCAAATTGATTTTACAACTCAAACTCCACAAACTCTCTCAGATACTTAAGAAAG